TTCAAAATGACCTTACCCTAAGCCGGTTGTCAAAAGGCTCCGTTGGACGCAATGACGCAGATGTACAGCGGGCAAAAGGTTGGACGAGAAGGGTATCGATCCCTTTACCTCTCGAAGGCCAGTGACGTCACGTTGTGGTCATTGCGAATCGAGCGCTCTACCATTTGAGCTACACGCCCTTGTTCGTCTGCGTGGTTCTACCACATTTAAAACTATACACTTTAAATAACCTAAAAAATGTCCACTCCTGCACGAAGTCGGCATGTGTGTACCGGTACATGTTTTCCGACCCCTTTTCTACCCCTAAAACCGGGGGGCTGCGCCCCCCCGGGCCCCCCCCGCTTTTTCCTCTGAGTCTTTGGCCCCTTGCCACTGTTGGGCCTTTTTGCCAACTTGCCCAATGCCAATTTGCAATGGATGAAACACACAGCATAGGAAGAGAAAGGCGCTTTGAAGAACCCAAGCTGAGACTACTGGGTGTATACTTTTGGCAGAGATTTCTGCAAAGCAGCTAAAGGGGCCGTCCCAGACGGTTGGTGTCTGGAAGGGCAAACACTGCATTGGCGGGCGCCACGACAATGGTGTGCATACGGCAAGCAACGGTGAGGATCAAGGCGAAGCGCACCCTTCTATAACAAAAGGAGGTGACGAATCAATCTGGGCAGATGGAGCGCTCAACAATCTTTACCACCTTTGGCTTTTTATCATGCTTCAGCGTGCTTACGTCGAGGCGCAATGCATCAAACCCCCGATACAAACCCTGACTCAGCTTGCCAAGTGACTTTTGTGTGATGCAGTGTGAGGACCTGATTGCTATGCAGAGCTGTAACCTGATGTGTCTGCCGGAGAACTATCAAATGAAGGTGGGTCTTAATGACTTTGACTGTAGGAGGGCTATGCAGTGGTGGCAGATGGGCAACCTCCAGCTAAAAAGTTGGTTATGCCTGAAATCTTCCATCTAATTATGAGCACCATATGCGCTGCCCTTGCTCTTGATTTGTCACTTATCAAAGTTTCCGCCATGTTTTAGTCTTCAGTTATCCGTCTGCCATCATGATGAAAGGTCAGCAGGTGGACGTTTGACCACTTTCCGATGAGTATTGAGGCAGGAAAAGTAGTAAGCGCATCATGAGTGGGCACCTACTCTTTCAGCCAAACTTCTGTCTAAATGCTGCCATTGGGCTGTGCAAAGGCACATCTTGCTACATGCGCGTCAGTTCGAGCGGGCTCAAATGCCTAGGAAGACCTCAAAAAGTAGCTGGTGACGCGGCCGCCCGGTTGTGGCAAAGCTCTCGTTCACGCACTTGCTGCACATATCACGATCATTTTTGGAGATAAAAGCTATACCATCCTAGTATGCCCTTCTGCCCCTGTTCCTGACTTGCTGCCGTGCGCCGTGCTGCCCTCTGTTGACACCTGTCATGCGTGGTGCAGTACTACTTGTACCACATTCTGTCCTGGCCCCAGCTGCTGTATGTTGCGGAGGACTACAACAACAAGATTGTGGGCTACGTCCTCGCCAAGATGTGAGTGGGGCTTTGAAATGCTAAGCGCAGAGTCTGTCAAACAGTGTTGTGCATGTTCAACCACTTAGAAACTTGGCGCCACCGGTTGGCTATGAAAACTGCGAACACGCGGTGTGCCCTGACGTCTAAGCTGGTTTTTAGATGCTATCAGATCCGCCTGCCTTTGCCCTGTTGGCCCCCAATTGCTGTGTGCTTCCCGACTTCGCCCGTTGCCTCACTGGCCGCTGTACGTGCAGGGAGGAGGAGACGAGCGAGTGCCACGGCCACATCACGTCCCTGGCCGTGCTGCGCACCCACCGCAAGCTGGGCCTGGCCACCAAGCTCATGAGCGCAGCGCGTAAGCGAGGCTACCCTGAACCTGAATTCTTGGAATCCTTAACGTCTTTGACTTGAGGGGGTGCAGCCTTGAGTGAGTTGCAACACTGTTTTTCTGAGTCCATAGAGCACAAGGTAGGAAATGACCTGCTGCAATTTTCTTGTGCAGAGCGTGCGATGGAGGAGGTGTTTGAGGCAGAGTACGTGTCGCTGCACGTGCGCAAGAGCAATCGTGCCGCCTTCCATCTCTACACCGAGACGCTCGGATACAGGTGCGTATTTCCAGGCCCCTCTGTCACATCCAGAACGGGAAGGCCACTCGTGTAAGTTAGCAGCACCTGCAGATGGTGGCAAGAGTCCTCGGTGCATCGCCCGTTTCAGTGCTTTGTTTTCGTAAGGGTTGTCCGGGCACATGTTTCTAAAGGGTTCAAGCTCCGGTTTTCAGGAACCGGAGTCAAGGTGTTTGGTCAGGTCGTCGTGATAGATTGGAGTGCAAACACAACCCTCGGAGATGCCAGTGGACGCATCCCGAGGGACATGCAGCGTTTGAAACTTGGCAGCCCTCGTCAGCTGCAACATACTGGGATACCGTGGCTTTCAGGCTGTTGAAAGAGTAACACGTTTTTCGAGGATTTGGGTGCATAACAGGAATCTTGTGCTTAAGCCATTATTTTCCACCACCAAGCCTTGCTGAAGAATGTCAATGGGCCCTGGTCAAAGTACCGCACCGATGTGCCCTGCGCTGGCGTACTCCCCTGCACTTTGCGTTGGTGGCTGACATTCTGCTACGACCCTGCGCGCAGGATCAATGACATTGAGGCCAAGTACTATGCGGACGGGGAGGATGCATACGACATGCGCAAGTACTTGCGGGGCAAGCCGCCACAGGGTGAGCCTGCGCGCTTGGGCTGCTTCTGCAGAGTGCATCATAGGGCCTTCTCTGGGCAGCCAAGCTCTTCCCAGTACATTGCATATCTCTATCCGTAGGAAGAAACGTCCGCATACGGCTCAAGCCTGCCGTCTGGCATGTGGAAACGGAACGAGTCTGACAGGAGCATGAGCGTGTTACTGACCAGGGCAGGAAACGCAATTCAAACAAGTTCAAGAAACAGGTCCTGTCAAACCGATGGAGAAGCAACCTGTCAATTCCGCTGTCGACCAAGATTTTCAACATGTCGAGGTCTCCGGTTTGCCTGAACCTTCCTGTGTCGCCAGACAACGCGCTGGTTGCTGGCTGAAGGTTGCTGACTTAGTTGGAACCCGAGTGCTACGTATTAGCGACTGATTTATTCTAGTTCCCAATCTTGCCATGCGTTCGGTGGTTCTTTGCAGATGCACGGCCTGCTGACGACTCTTTATCACTCTGATCTACTTCAGGTGCCAAGAAGGACAAGAAAGCGCTGCCAGCGCCAGCGCCAAACTCTGAAAAGAACAGTAAGCAGAGCTCACGAGAGGAGCCCGAGAATGCGGAGAAAGCAGGCGGCACGCCTGAGCCTAGAAGTAGCACCGCAGGTGAGGCCGAAGAGCTGGAAGACAGTCTGCCAGGATTGAGCGAGTCGACTCGAAGTGGGAACGACGTGTTTGCAGAGTCGCGAGACAGTTCCTTGGGCGCCTCGAGCATAACGGACAGCGAAAGTAAGGGGGCTTCTAAAGCGAAGGGAAGAGAAGCTGCTAGAACACCCTCGTGAAAAGTCTGCCATGCAAGCTTTGCATCATCCTCTCTTGATGACAAGACGTTGGAAGGTCACCTCTTGGAACCGCATCGACAGCCCACTATATGGTCGCGGAGGCGATCGACATTGCAAAGGCGCCACCTGGGACTGAAAATTCCATGCTTCAGAGGGCCTGAAGTTTTTGAAGCCTGAGACATACAATCAACGTAGCGACTTTTCATGACCGTGGTCAATTGTATAGACGACGCAGAAATGAACTCGAGATCGTGATATTTGCGATCTGTCACGCTCCAAGAACGTACAAGGCTCCATGACACCAATACTTATATTGCATGAATGTTTCAGAATTGTTTTAGGAGCAAATGCGAGCTCCGAAAAAAGTTATGTTTACTATTTCAATCCGAGGGCAGGCCCTGGCCGTCACTTTGTCGGAAGTGGCCGCGCACGTACGTGACCCCCTCACATTTACAGTACATGTCAGCACATAATGGCAGTACGTCATGCTTGATCGAGTGCTGCCCACGATCATTGCATTGAATCCTTGAGTCCGGCTCGGCCATTCGTAATCATATCATAAGCACACCGGTCTAGGTTTGATGGGGCCGGCCCGGCCGGACGGTTCACTCTGATCGGCAATTCATGCATGGGAAAATTTGCATGTTGATCGCGTGGCCGCCGGCCCGCCGAGCGATCTTATGTGCATGGTACGTACGTCGATCGGCCCGAGCTGAGCAGGCCAGCGCGAGCTGGCCCGGCGCATGCACGGCGGACGCTACATACTTAAAGTCGGTTGTCAATTGACGTATATATCTTTTTGTCTGCAGCAATCGAGTTAATTGCTTATGTTAACGTGCCAATTACTGGCATGATCGACGATGCGCCATGTGCGCGCTCATGGAACATGCACCCAAATGTACAAGCTTGATCTAGCTTTGATCGAAACGCCATATTGAATGATCGAACTCAATTCTTTAACATCAATGGGTCAGTGCATAGGCCAAAGCCTTCCCACAAGTACTTCCATAAGTCCATATATGCAAATAAAATTGGTCAATGCCGGCGGGAGTTTTTTGAAACGCCGTCCACCATCTGTCACACTGTTCAAATTGATGGTCTTCTTTCAAACCGTGAAACCGACGCGGCTCTTCAGCCAGTTCGGTCACTAGGCTTCTCATGATTCTTAGCACACATGATTCTTAGAAAGGGACGTACCGTATTGTAGGTCCTACGGTATATGTATAACGGTAACCTGGCATACCGGCAAAAAATGGACAATTACAAAGGGATTCGACCCCACAACCACATGACAAGATGGTATCGACGCCCGGCCGGTGAATCTTAAATGATAGCAGCACGGTCGACGGTTCGGTTGATACGACCGTGTACGTACGGTCAGTAACTGGCAGTGGCGCTACTAACTGCAGCTAGTTAATTCAGAAGCTTTAATTCAATCATGGCGTACCTCCGCCAGCTACCAGGTTTCATAGGGATAAACTTTAATAGTAATAAGGAACTTAAGGTAAACGAGTACGGGTGGGGTTAGTTTGGTGGTTAGGGTGGGTTCGGGTGCGGAGCAGGTGAGTTTGTTCTTAGGGTTTTAGTGTTGGTTAAGCCAAGAAATTGAATACTTTCAGTACCTAAGATCCTTATTACTATTAAAGTTTATGGTTATCAGGCCTGTTTCGCATGAATCTTGGTAAACCGTGTAAGCGTTTCGCCTGGTACAGTACCCGGAAAGCATAAGATTGCCCGGTCTAATCAATGTGCCCGGTGAAAACTGACCGGTATTTTGGATTTAGGATTTTAAGAATTCCCGAAATTTTCGATTATCACGTCATCTCTAAGCTGCTTTCAGGTCAAATAAGAGGAGGTTTTGAGGTCTGTGTGATAGGTTGGGTTCACATTTTCTGTGAACTTTCAGGATCTGACTTTTTAGGGTTTTAGGGTTTTAGGGTTTTAGGGTTTTAGGGTTTTTAGGGTTTTGGGGTTTTAGGGTTTCAAGGTTTTTGGTTTTAGGGTTTTAGGGTTTTAGGG